AAGGAAGGAAGGAAGGAAGGGAGGGAGGGAGGAAAAATAATAGATCTAGATCACATAAAATGAATTAGAAGAGAATTCTAAAGTTTATGTATCTTTCCACCACACATTCATAAGGAAGTACAAGTCACAGAAAGATTTTTGAAATGACAAGAGCTTTTTTAACTTTTTCTGTTCATGACCTCTCTAAAGGATCTGGTAATTTCCCCAATGTCAAGAATCTCTCCTCCTGAGCCCCCAAAACCAAACAAGAAAAACAAACCCAATAACATACTAACAAAAGGCATGGCAGGAGTTCCAGGATACCCAGAAAAGAAAGAGGAATCTCCAGTACTTTTCCTTTGTTTTTTTCAGAAGAGGTATGAACAAAGTCATGAAGATTTATTCAATTCAACATACATTAAGCCCCAAATGTATGTTTAATAAACATGCAATTCATTGAGGGAGATACAGAACATACCCAATTCAATTCAATTCAATTCTAGGAATTCTGCTAATCTCTAAGGATACAAACACGAAATAAAATAATCCTTGTCTTTGAGGAGCTTATATTCTTGGAGTTGGGGGTGGGGAGGGCGGGCAGTGGAGAGATGGGGAGAAAATTTGGAACTCAAAATCTTTTGGAAGTGAATGTTGAAAACTAAAAATAAATAATTTTTTTTAAAATGAAAAAGAGAATAGTATCAAGAATGCTAAATAAAGCCAAGTACGAGCTAAAGCTTATGAGAAATGTTAAATACCATAAAATAGTTACTTTAGCATTGTTGATGAAAGTTTGGACATCTTCTTGATGTGATGGGAAGAATAAAACAAGAGAAAGAAAAGAAACTATTTAACTCTTCCTTTGATTCTGTTTTCTCTACCAAGAAAAAAAAATGATCTCCAAATTGAGAATAGAAAAAAACATGGTTAACAAAGGAATTAAAACCCAAGATCAGTGTGCAGCTCCTAAGAGTCACATGCAGCTTCCCTCAGTAAGTTCAAGTTATCTGGCACAGATGTACTACATCATAAGGTACTAAAAGACTGTGATTTTTGAAATAACATGGAGAGAGGGAGAGATGGCACAGGAATGGATAAAGGCGAAAGCACCAATTTTCAAAAAGGGAAGGATAGATATTTTGACACATAGACTGATGAACTTGATTTCAATAACTAGCACAGTTCTAGAACAGATAATTAAAAGGATGGTTTGTAACTACTTAGAAATAAAAGATGTTATTAGTAAAAATCACTAGTTTATTAAAGATGAGCCATATCTGAATTGCCTAATTTCCCGTTTACTTTAAATAGAATTGCTAAACTTCAAGACTGGGAAAGTAGTGTACATATATATATGTAAAATTGCAGCAAAGTGGTTGGCAATTTTTCACTTTGTGAACAAGATGAAAAGATGATAGATGATATTAAATAAAGGAAATTAAGTTGGTTTTGAACAAGCTGAAAGACCCAAAGAGTGAGATGATGTCAACATGGAGGGAAAGCTCTCCCAGAATGCAAAAGGTTTCTATCCTTGGCGCTATTTTTGTAACATTTTGTGAATGACTTAAATGAAGGTACCGATAGGATACTTATCAAGTAGACACAAAATTGAGAGGGATAGTCAATCAAAAGGCAATTATTAAACATGTACTATAAGCCATGTATGGTGCTAAGCACTGGGGATTCCATAATGCCCTTAAGGAGCTCAAAGTCTAATGGGGAAGACAATATACACACAACTACATACAAACAAGATACATACAGGCTAAATTGGAACAGTCTCAGAGGGAAAGTACTGGCATACCAGGAAAGGCTTCTTGCAAAAGATGGGATGTTAGTTGAGACTCAAAGGGAGTCAAGAGTCAGAGATGAGGAGATAGAGAATTCCAGACATGAGTCCAGAGTTGGGAGATGAGTGTCATGTACAGAGAACAGCAAAGAGAGCAGTGTCACTAGATCACAGAGTACGTGGAGGGGAGTGGGATTAGAAGATGGAAAGGTAGGAAGGGGCCAGATTATAAAGAGCTTTAAAAGCCAAAGAATTTTGTACTTGATCTTGGAGACATCAGGTAGCCACTGCAGTTTATTGAAAAGGCAGGGTAACATGGTCAGACCTGCACTTTAGGAAGATCAATGTGACAGCTAGGTGGAGGATAGATTTGAGTGGGAGAGGACTGAAGCAGAGTGACCAACCAGCAAGCTACTGCAATCATCCAGCAGGGAGGGGATGACTGTCTGCACCAGGTTAGGTGACTGTGTCAGAGGAGAAAAGGGGGTGGACAAGAGAGGTCCTTCATGTCTGGAGTACCCTCCGTCTCACATCTACCTCACTGCTAGTATCTCCCTGCTGAGATTATCTTCCACTTATACTGTATGTATCTTGATGTACATAGTTATGTGTATGCTATCTCTCCCATTAGACTGTGAGCTCTTAAAGGATAGGTACTGTGGTTTTGCCTTTGTTTGTATCCCCAGCACAGCATCATGTGTAGTACATAGTAAATGCTTAATAAAGGCTTACTGATTGACTGGCTGGAAATTAGAGCAATGCCAATTTGGTTCAACCTTAGGAAAACCCTTGTTAACAAACAGAGCTGCCACAAAATAGAATGGGTTACCTTAAGGAATAGTGACTCCTGATTCATGAAGGTATTTAAATGGAAATTGGGATGTTGGAGACAGGATTTATAATTTGGGTAGAAACCAAACTAGAAAACCTTCCCACCCAACTCCAAGATTCTATGATTCTAGGAAGGAATAGGAAATCATTCTCAGTTAAAATGGAAATGGACTAAAAATGAGACCTTGCCAAACTGGTATTCCAAGAATACCAACATGGTACATTTTTGTACATAATCAAACTTAGGAGAGATTATTAATGGGAAATATCCCCTCACAAAAAAAAATCTCCCTCAATCATCGGTCATATCATCTGAAATTCCACATTAGTTATTTAGTCCATTGGAATAAGAAGCATCCTCTTTTAAATACAAATTTCCCTAGGAGCAATTTTTTCTTAATTAGGGTTGGACCTATTTTCTTGGACATGACCTCTGACCCTTAACCATGTTTGAGGTTTTACGCTACAATTCTTCACCAACAGCGTTGAAACATAACCCATAACACTCCCAAATTCAGATAAAAGACATGAGGTAAGTAGCACAGATGCATCTTTCCTTTTGATTTATGAAAAATTCTCAAAATCAATCTCCCTTAACAATATCCTCCTAAAAATTGAGATTATGTTAGTGTTCAAAAACAAAAATACTATGTATGTATAATTCCTGGGTTATTTTAGTAATTCTTTACCATAGTACCTTATATTTGCTTTTTTCCCTACCTACTTAGAGTATTTATGAAAACAACCTAAGACGCAGGTAGGGAACTCAAGGCCACAAGTGGCCCTCTAGGTCCTCAAGTGAAACTCTTTGACTTCAACCCTTTTATTAAGGGGATTTGTTCTGTGATGTTTGGATTCAGTCAAAGGGCTGCACTTGAGAACCTAGCGGGCCACATGTGGCTTTGAGGCCACAGGTTCCCCACCTCTGGTCTAAGATGTTCCAAAATGAATTCTATCTTTCTGTCAACATGACAAGCTTTTTCTGGGCCTTAGGTTTGCTTTGGGCTTGCCTTTAGGACTGCAGCCCTAACAAGGTAAAATAAAGTTTTTTTTCCCCATAGCAGTTGAAATCACCTTCTTCCTGATTCTTGAGGGGAGGAACTTTAGTAATATGTTCTAAAAGGCTTGGATCTTTTTCAGGTTTCCGGCTTGGAGAAGTTTTGCAACTATCTAGTTGCTGAGCAGCTTTATCATCCTCAGAAATATTATTCTGCTGCATATCTCCCACAATAGATGGTGACGACGATGATGAATAAATATTTCCTAAGTGATCCACTATGGGAAGCAAATATAATTCTGGTTGAAGAGCCTAAAACATATAGGAAACAATTTAATAGAGAATAACTTTTTAAAAAATTGTTTTAAAATAAAAGTTTCTAAGTGTGTTACATACATATGGTGGAGCAAATGACTTGAGTTTCAGTTCCTTTTCTTCCTTTGTCTTCACCTGAAAACATAAACATGAAAAATCAACCAAGGCTTTCATGATTTCTCATTTATTTACTTTGAACTTTGCAAAGAGTATATAAAGAGTTAAGCTGAATTTTAAAGCTAATAGCAAGACTAGATGGAAGATATTGTAGAAGATAAGTTTATTATCTGAGTGCATCAAATATAATTGAATTCATACATCTTTCAATTATGCAAATTAGTTCTCACACACTTAAGTAGAGCTCAACTGGTGATAATAAAAGAGAGTTCCAATACAGAGGGTGGGACTGAGGCAATAGTTTTACTTAATGTTACAGTAAAGAAATAGTTTGGTACATGTAGCTAGAGAATTCACTAACTCTTCATTCATCATTCCTAGTTAAAGATTTGAACAGTGATTATCTTAATAGTTTTTTTTTAATATTTTCTTTCTCTCAGGAACAAATTCTAGAGTGAATACATATGACACAATGGAATAGAGGTATACATAATTACCATTTCTTTATACATTTGACTTTATTATGCCCAAAATAAAAATAACCATAGGATTCTGCATTGGGATTTTCATTCATTCTCTCAACAGGAATTTAAGTGTCTGCTATACATTATGTATTAATTTGTTCTAACAAAAGTATGGTCTCAAAGAAAAAAATCCAAGCATGTGAAAAAATGTTTCACATGGCTAATAAGTAGAGAAATCCACAGTAAAGCAACTTTGAGTTTCCATCTCACACCCATGAGATTGGCAAAAGATGACAAAAAAAGAAAATGACAAATGTTAGTGAGGCTTGAGGGGAAATGGGCACATGAATGTACTGTTGGTGAAACTGTGAATTGGTTCAACTATTCTGGAGAGCATCCTGGGCCTACTCCCAAAAAGTCACTCAATGTGTGTATATCTTTTGCCCAGTGATACCACTACAAGATATATATCCTACAGAGATAGAAGACAAAAAAAGGACATATGTATAATAGCGTTTATAATAGTTCTTTTGGTAGGAAAAAAAAAATGATGCCCACCTGTTAGGGAATGGCAAAACATATTATAATGGAATATTATTAGGCTGTAAGAAAGGATGAAATGGAGAGCTTCAGAAAACTCGGAAGAGCTGTTTGAACTGATGCAAAGTGAAGAGAGCAAAATCAGAAAACCTCATCAGTATGTTCGTAAAGTATGTTTATAGAAGAATTTAATATTTGAGAAGGGAAAGAAAAGAAGAAGATAACTTTGCCCCTTAAATAGTAGTGGCAATAGGTACTTTTATTATTAGATGGTTAACTATGAAAATGAAAAATTATGACTAAAGAAGTGAGACATATATAATATACCCTGACATTAATCAATCAGCAAGTATTTATTAAACACCTATTAAATAGCAAGACACTAAGAACACAAAGCCAAAAATTAAACAGTCCCCACCCTCAAGGAGTTTACTGTTGGTGTGACAAAGCACCTTTCAGACTTTGATTGGACATATATGAGCTGGCAGCAGAGAGAGTGACTAAGTATCCTGGACTTGGCCATGTCTCTATTTTTTTTCTACCCATTCATCTACATATGAGAACAGAAAAGACTTAAAGAGTTTAAAAATTGGGAAACCTCTCGAGGAACATGGGAATTATTAGGCAAATAACCATTCCCTAGTCTAGTTTATAGCCCAGTCTTCAAAGACTGATAATGGGAAATACATAAAATAGTCAACACAAACCAAGGTGAGGTCCTTGGCTGGGGCCTACACCCAGACCAGGATTAGGAGTCCAAAGAAAACACAAAGCCTAAGGGCATTCTATAACTCTTTTAGAAACATTAGTAGCCAGAATGTGGGAACAAGACACCCTAGAACATCTTAGAGCATCCTAGAACAAAGCGTTTTCTAACTCTTCCAAATAGCTGGGGGGTGGGAAGAATGGATGGGATGGAGCCCAAGCTAAGAGAGTGAGAGAGAGCTGCAGATGACTGTGACAGCAGACAGTATTGCACAGAAGCAGAAACACCAAGTGGAAACCCATGAGTCTGAGAGGAAACAGTCCCGCCCAGCACATGAAACCAGAGCAACTCAATGGTTTTAGCATCAGCAGCATGAGCTGCACTTCCACGCATGGGCCCTGGTCACCCATGGTTTGGTATATGGTGGGTCGCCATAAGAAATTAAATGGGAATTTTGGGGGAGTTTTGCAGAAGTGGCAGACAACATGTGATGGCCAGCAGACAACAAGAAAAAGTTTAGAAAGTCAGAAATACATAAAATATATGTATGGGGTTATATAATAAAGCCTATGACCACATACTTAACCTAAATTTTACAATAAGGTAAACACCCTATAAAAGAAAAGAAAAAAAAATTCAGACTTCTTCTCTGGCACGAAGGGAGGGCCAAAAAATTTTATGTGGATTTTCCAAATTGCATGGGCGCTGTGACCCCAACACCCCCGTCCTCCACCCCTCGATGTGGAGCTGATAACTGTAAATGTAAAATAACCTTAGAAGGGAGGGCCCTGGTTCACACTTGGAGAAGCACTCTAATCTGCTACATTAAGTCTCCTGGTAGTCATCTTGGCTTGGGGCATCTGCTTTTGTTAAATGCAAACATTTAGCATGGAGAGGATGAGTCTGTGATCAGTCCAGCACTCTGCTCCACACACTGTCTTCCTCACTCTCACATCCTATCTGTCTCTTCTCACAATGACATAGTCTATTACATGCCAATGTTTGCGGCAAGGGTGCGTCCACAAAGTTTTATTGCATTTAGGCAAATGGAAGACAGTGTTGGTGATAAGGTCATGAGATACACAAGTCTTCAGTAGTAAGTGACCATTGTTGCTGCTGTTTCCAGCTCCATCCCTCCCAAGGACTCCCTGCCATGTCCGGTAGTCTGAGCCTACTCTAGCATTAAAGTCACCTAGAATTATAAGCTTGTTCTCTTTTGGCACATTGATGATGAGGGTCTCCAGGTCTTCATAAAATTTTTCTTTGACCTCATCTGGGTTCATCATGGTGGGAGCACATGCTCTGATGATGGTAGTATGGTGCTTTCCTACAAGTGGTAATCTCATTGTCATGAGCCTGTCATTCATTCCTTTTGGTAGCCATACAAGCTTGTTAACTAGATTACTTTTGACTGCAAAACATATGCCAGCTTCATGGTGCTCCCCTTCGCTGCAGCCACTCCAGAAAAAACACGTATCCAGCTCCGACTTTGGAAAGCAGCTCTTCATTTGCCAGCCTTGCTTCACTCAAGGTTATCATCTTGACGCAGTGCCTGCGGAGTACCCTCACAACAACAGCTCTTCGTCTTTCAAGCCTACTGGACTTGCTGTCGTCCATACGTGTGCACACATTCCACGTTCCAATGATGAGCGGAATCATCTTTGCAGAAGTTTCTGTACATTTTTTTGTGTTTCGACATAGGGTGGGATCTCCTCCTGCTGTGGTAAACAGGACAGGGTTGGGTAAGCAGACAACTTTTAGGGCACATTTTCTAGCCCCTTCCTCACACCAGGAGGTGAAGATCGTGGTTCTCAAAAGGCCGCTCTGACCCCCAGGGGGCTGCCGTATCCCACTGCTGCTTCCAGTGAGAAGATGACCCTACAGCGTGGGCTGCCTGTGTACAGGGTTGTGACTACAGCTCCCAGTGTATGCGTACCTGCTGTTTTGTTACCTGCCTGTCACCACAGGACTCAGAGATAGGTAAAAACGGTAAAATGGTATGGGTGATGTCTTTTGATTCATGCATAAATTGTATTTAAGTAAGGCAGGATTGCACAAAGTCATTGGCCTCACTCTCTCTTCCAGAGTTGTAACAGTCCAGTGGCAGGACAGAGTCAAGATGACTGGTGATGGCTCGAGATGCACTGGACGTTGGTGTCTTGGATGCCCAACCAAGCTCTAAGTGTTCCACAGTGCCTGATTCAGCTGCCTTCATGGCTGTTGGAATCAATTGTTCTAATCCGCCCATTTCACCAGGAGAAGTCTTTACATGCTTAAGGCAGACACCCCCTTAACTCACTGATGGGTTTGAGACCCCTTGGTTACCCTCAACCTGCTTTAGCCATCTCTGAAACAGTTTACCAGAGTGTGGTCACTGTGTATGCTATAGCTTCTTGAAGCCACAGGTGAGAGTTAGGTGGATCAGGTAAACAGCAATGGTAGAAAGCAGCCCTGCAAAGGGCTCAGCAGTCCTCATACCAGAGGCACTAGTCTTCCCTGAACACACCCTACACCCCAGACCATAGCTAAGTATCAGTGGAAAGCATCCCAACCAGGAAGAGACCCAAATGGCCTTGTGGATACCATACTGCAAATGGAACCACAGGGACACCACAAGCAGACCTAGGAGGCCTAGAAATACCATGATGTGACATGCTTTGGCCACATATATACTCAATGTGTGTGTCCTGTGAACTCTAACCATGTCCACTCTTCCCACTGACATGGTGTGTATTTTAGAAGAGTGTGCTGTGGGTTTACGGGATATCTATGTTGTATGTCCACATAATCCTGCATCAGAATCACCATGGAGATTAGAGACACTACCCCAGAATCCACTAGCACTGACACGGTGGACCTGAGGGATTGTAAACTCAGGGAATTCTGGGAGAAAGATGCTGGAAGGAGGAGAGCATGGCATCCTCCTTCTGTGATGTGTGGGAAGACACTGGCCCTGTTCTGCCCCCAACCAGCCCTTCCCTTCAGAGACTACAATGGCAAACCACTGAACTAAAGTTGCCATTGCCTCTGAGCTAGAGAAAAGACATGACTTAACCATGTTAACTGAGCAACTCCCCTGCAGTATTGCCCTGCAAAGGAGACGGAAGTAATCTAGATGGAAAAGCTATTTATGCTCCTGTGCTCAGACACCTGGCACTGTCTGACAGTAAAGCCAAGAAACTGCCTCACTCGGGCCATTTTGCTCAAGTCCCCATAAACATTTAATATGGATTAGGGTCTCTTTCCAAGATGTATGGAAGTTTAAGGTTTCACTCAGCTTGGGAGAGTAATACAACTCCCTGAGAGGTTGCCTTCACATATAATTGAGGGACACAAATTTAACAAATCGTTGAAACAGAGATGATAAAAAGGGGGTTTAGAGGAGTCCTTCACCAACCAGTGAGCTGCTGAAAGGAGAAGTAGGTGTAGGGGAGCAACAAAATGTGAATACCAATAAAGAAATCCAAATAGGAATTTACATAGTGTACACAAAAGGCAACCCTTCTCTCCCTCAGCCCTGGATTGGCTTGAGGGACATCTCTCATCTGGGGGATTTTTCGTTGACTTCAGGTTAGAAATACTTTTTTACACTCTTTCCTGCAAATCAGTTTTGAGATGGCCAACAAGTAAGATTGCAGAGTGACAGAAAATGTCTGGATATCTGACAGGAGAAATGACAGGAGAAAACATTGCTCTCCCCTTTACACATTCCTCTTACTACAGGCCAGATGGGTCTTCCAATTTTCCCAGACCAATCAGTTTCCCCAGCCTCAATGTGTCACTAGCATTAATTATGTATCAAAGGGGTAGTGGCTAATTTCTTTTATACAAAAGAGAATAGACAACACAATCACAGAGGAGAAAGCAAATAATGAAAAAGAGGTCATTTTTTGGATGCAATATTAGTTAGCACCAGGTTCTACTACAGGCAGGACGCTTCCTGACTACAGGAACAGAAAATGACCTTTTTGTTTATACTCCTTCCCCCTCACAGGAAAGAAGAGAGAAAAACCACGGAGGAGTTGATAAGTTAGCAGTGTAATTCTTCCCCAACCCAGAGGCAGGGGAGAAGGGTAATGTCTCCAAGGAGTGCCTAACGTAGCTCACAAATTGTTGTCTTTATCAGCACAGCGGACATCCTCATTAGCCTCAGCAGCTACAATTCAGTGATTCGGGAAGAGTTTGGAAGGGAAGGGGCAAAATGCCTAGGCACTGAGCATCAACCCCCATGCCACACAAACTCTGAGCTTACTTTCTTACACTTCTCTTTTTGGTGTTTTCCCCTGCAGAATTCTCTAAGTTCCACATTCTTCTCGGTTCCATAATTTCAGTATTGGTTAATTCTGAGGAAGCATCTCTCATCTCTAAGCTAATGTCAGCGCAAGGCTAAATTAGGAAATGTCCTTGTTTCAAGATAGCTATGCCTGGCACAAGTAGGAACTTAGTAAATGCTTGTTAAATTGACTTAATGCTGAATAACTATGCAAAGAGAATACATCAGTGAGAACTTGTGAGCTATAGTTTTAAGAGTATAACAGACCCATAGAGGACCTTGAACCTAGTATGTTCAGGGATCCAGCCTCTTAATAACAGTTGGGGAAAAGGTGGGGGAA